ACGCTTAGTGCTTCTAATTGGGACATGCTGCCTTGTCCCTGGACTTCGTTGCAGGAAACAATGCAGTAAGTTTACTGTTTCATGACACAAGAGACACTCGCATTCGACACTTTTCCCAAAATGGGAGATGATTGGATTCCCTCTATGTGGATGCGCTTCGGGTTTTAGAGTATATTCCCAGCTTGGGAATTGACAGTGGGAACTGGATTCTTTCAGCATATCCACTTTGTAGAAAACTCTCTCTCTTAAATTATGCCCGAGATGCCCGGAATCTTTTCGATGCTGTTGCAGGCATATGCTGCAACATCATATGCTGCAGAATATACGTTTAGCAAGATGCCAGAACTTTTCGTGGAACATCATGCCGCTGGGGAATATTTTTGGCAGTGCAAAGCGAGTGTCTGATTCAATGTAGGCTGTGCTGCAACACAATGCTGTTGGCTTGCATCTGATTGGAAACATAGAGCAGGCTTTTGTCTCTCTCTATGTGACGCACACATGCATTTGCCAGAATTTGGAGAAATCAAAACAGACCTTTGAAACTTCATGGCATCAAAGAGCCCAATATTATATCATGGACAATATTGTTTCAAGCATGCCCAAAATGGGCATTTGGACGATAGAGAAATGTGGTCCTGTGGACGGCCATGGTGGCCTCACACACACACCTTGGAGAAGGCAGGAATTTGGAGCTACTGAGCTTGATGGTGTCGAGCCAAACCAGGTTTCTTTCCTCTTCGTGCTAAGTCTGGTTTGCTTGACGAATTTCGCCTGTTTCGCTAGAATGGTGGATGACCAGTGCATTGTTGCGTCGGATCAACACGACTGCATTCTTGTAGATCTTCTCAGCCGGAGCGGAGAGCTCAAAAACGCAGAGAAACGAAGCACCACTGTGCTTGGTGGTGCTGATGATCGTAACCCGGAGCCTTGGACAACTGTTCTTGGAGTTTCCGCTGTGGTCATGCCTTGACACTGGGAAACCCGTAGATGAAGTATTACTTTTGTTCGCTGGGACTTTGTTGGATCACTGGATTGGAGAAACTAGCAAGCGCCTGGTGCAAAACAGAAACGTTCACTTGCGATTTTGAAGGAGAGCTCCATTACATACCTGATAGAGATGGAGTGATGCGAAAGCGTCAGTGGCAGCGTAGCTAAGTTGTGCTGGAGATAAAGGCTGGAGCTCCCAGTCACCGCATCGAATGTCCGTGGGCTTGTCAATCACTTTGCACGTAAGTTCTTCCGCGAGGCTTGACAGGCTCCAGCTCTGGCTTCTTTTGAGCTTTTGATTCGCCATGGCGGACAGGTCGACACTCCCAGTCACAGTGACACCATAGTCGAGCTTCAGTTTAGAGACATCTCCACTTATTCCTATACCAGCCTGAAAGGATTTAAGAAAGAAGAAGAAGACTCTAGGATACCTTCGAGATTGTTTCTTCTTCCAGGAGTTTCTGTAATTGTGGAGGGATTCCCGAGTGGAAAATGTGGAAAACGTAGCACCGAGAGCTGTCCAGGCACAGCTGCAAAACTGCAGTTCTTCCGGGCACAGCTCCTGCGTCAAAGAGGAGAGTAAAAACCAAGTGAATTCTTTGGCGAAGACCTCTTTACCTCGTTCAAATGAAGGCTTCCACTCGGTGTCAAATCCCAAGACTATGTCCCGTGTGCCGTCGGCTTTCAAGGACTCAATGCTTTGGAGCAATTCGGCAGCGGCACTCTCGGCCTCCTCCGCTGTGCTGGAGTAGAAAACCCTTCCCTTGAATTCCAGACGAGGCAACTTGCTCTTCGCTCCATCTACAAGCACGAATGAAATAAAACACAACAAAAAAATAAACACACAGAGAGAGGGAGAAAAAGAATTCCAAAGCAATCAAGAGCAATGCAAGCAAAGCAGCAAGATCATAGTGCTAGAGAAACTCACATTGACTAACAGGAGGAGTAAGCCACGAAGCAGGCAGCTGCCTACGTACCCTCTTCGCGTCGGGACGTTCATCGCTCGCCATCGCCGCTTCCTGGGATTGAATGCCGCGTCGCCCTGCCGGCGTGTCCGATCTGGGCTCCACGGCGCTCAATGCGAGCTCGATGGCCGCCCACTCGTCGGCATCCACCCATTCCACTGGGACCATCCCGCCCAAGAGCCCTAAAAAAGCAGAGCCCTAAAGTCAAACAAAGTCAAGGGTTAGGGCAACACTGGAAATTCTCTCTTTATTTTTGCGCAAAGAAGAAGATTTCGCGCTTCTCTCTCTCCCATCGCCGCCCTTGCGCGCGCGTCGTCAGAGGAGCAAAACAAGAAAGGGAGGAATTTTTCTCTTCCGCGCTTCCCCTTTTGGGCCATATAATCGCGTCGAGTAGTTTCGTCGCCCTTTGGGTGTGTGTGTGGATTTTTTTGTTCTAGGGTAGAGGCAGCGGTAGCGTTTCCCGGCGGGCGTCGTCGCCATCGATGCTACTGCGCCACACCACATGAGTCGCAATCCTTTGGCGAGGAGGAGGAGGAGCGCTGCGTGATGCCGCTCTACAAGAGGTCAGCATTCCCGCTAGCTGAGGTCCCCGCGGACATCAGTCCCAATGAGGAGGTGTTCCAGGTGCGATTCACAAAGGAGATTTTCCGGGACTACCAGTAAGTTCTTCCTCCGGATTGGTTTTTTTCTTTCTTTCCTTGTTTCTTTGCTTTGCGCGATTGGTTTTTTGGTTTGTTTTTCTTTGCTCTTTGCTGGGATGGGGATGTAACTAGAATTTCTTTCTTTCTTGGCAGGGAGTATCTCAATAGGATGAAGTTATACCGGCAAAAGGTCTGGACGTGCAAGGTGACCGGAAAGACCAATCTAGATTATGAGCAAGCGCTCTCTTCCGAGAGCAAAGCCAGCGAGCTTGTGCAGAATTTTCCCAAGGAGTTTATCGGGCCTGTCCTTCGAATGGTCCAATTCAGTAAGTTTCGAGACTTTGAGAGCTTTTGATTTACGTTTGCCTGTTCTTTCTTTCCTTTTCAGGTCCCTCCTGTGTTAGCGATCTGGTGGACAGGATCCACAAAAGGTTCAAGGACCATTTTGTAGAGGGAGAGGTTCTAGACGGTGTCTGCGATGGATCCGTGCGCACATGCAAAATTCTTCGAGTGCTGGAGGAGAACCAGGAATGCGAGCCCGACAATTGCAGCTGCTCTTACGAGGTGGCGTTTATAAAGAGTGACGGCAAGGTGAAATGCACTGACAACATAAACGTGCAAAGCCTCCGGCGGAAGAAGCATCCGCTCACCAAGTGCTTGCTCAAGTCTTTCATACGGGAGTCGGCGTTTATTGGAGTGAGCAAGAAATCCCGCTGGGCAGTGCATGACAACCTTGCGCGTCTCCACAATGTGGCCTTGCATCCTACGAGTGAAGAGGAGAGCGCTGAGGGCAGTGATGTGAGTAACTCTTTGTTTTCGTTTTCATTGTACTTACTAGAAGATCTTACGTGATGCAGCTTCGTGAGATGTGCAATGGTGGATCTAAAGTACGCAACGGAGTGAAAAGGAAGAGCTCGGACGATGATAGCGTGGAAAGCAATGGAAACAATAAGCGGAAGAAAAGTACAGATGGTACGAGGAACTTTATTCTTCTCGCTGGCTTTTTGTTTGCGTCTCTAACCGATCGACTTCCAGGGAGTAAACAAAAGTATCCTATCGAGGACAAGCTGTTGCCGCCACCTTCTGAACGCCCCGCCCCTTCTTCCGAGTTCTCAGTACCGGCTGAGTGCGTTGGCCATTTGCTGATGGTCTGGGACTTCTGCAGTGCTTTCGCCACGTCGTTGGAAATCACGCAGTTCACGTTGGACGACTTCGAGGAGGCCTTGTGCAGCAAAGAAGAAGAATGCCCGCTCCTTGAAGAAGTTCATCATGCTCTACTAAAGGCGATACTCTCGAACACGAATTTGTGCGAGAAGCTCCAGGTCAAAAGGAAGGATAAAAAGGGAAAGCGCAAGCTGCAGGTGAGTTTTCCTTCACTGTTTTCTATCACTCACCTCTGGTTGTTGGTCGCAGATTTTGCCGGAGACGTGGAAGGACGACCTCGCTGATGTTCTTGAGCTCATTGGCTCGGACAAGACAAAGCCGTACGCGTCTTCCATAAGGCTGGGCGATTATTCGGAGTTGGAGCCTCTGGCCAGGCTAGAGATATTGCACGACTTGACCGAGCCGAGCGCCAGCTCCATCGTTGTGAGAGGTCAGCTCGATGAGCACATCCCACGCAGGAAGGACAGCAAAAAGAAGCAAGCCTCGCCTGAGATCGAGGACGAAGACGACGACGAGCCTCCGGTAGGAGAGCATCTAGCGGGGACGAACGGCTCCTCCAAGCTACTTAAATCATTTAAAAGGTACGTGCTAGAGACTAGAGACGCTTGCTTGTGAGGGTCACTCTTCTCATTGTCTTGAGCTTTTCGTGTGACAGGAAAAAGAAACCCGTAGCCAAGAAGAAGCAAAAAGAGGTAATACTTCTTTGTTCCTTATTTTATAAAGTGAGGAGCTAATACTTCGTGTGTAACCAGGATGCGGATACTTCGAAATGCCCGCTGAGGAACATATACTTAGGCGTAGACCGTGACTTCAACCGTTATTGGTTTTTCCCCAGGGAGCCACGTATCTTCATAGAGAATGAAGACTCCACAAAATGGAGCTTCTATAGTGACAAAGAAGAGGTAGGCCTCTCGGCAGTTTCTCTGTCAGCGTGGTCTTCACCATACTTTTCCTTTTGTTTGCAGTTTGATGCGTTTTGCAGCTCCCTTAACTTGAAGGGAATTAGGGAGAAAGATTTGAAGGAGCAAATAGATCAACATTACGGCACAATCTGGTAAACAAAATCGCACTTGTGGATTTGTCTAACTAAACTCTTGTGCTTCACGCAGCATAACTTTTGAGGCATACCAGGCATCGTCCGACTCGGAGCATGGCTCGGAGCATGATTCGGAGCATGCGGAGCAGTCGGATTAAAACACTTCCATCTGTTTTTCCAAAGTGGATGAAATGAGAGAGAAGAGAGTACAGGAGTTCGGTGTAACATTTTGGTCGAGATAGCCAACAAAACTTCCAGGCCAGTTATTACAAAATTCTTTTTTCCTTCTCGAGAGGTTGCGTTATATACAGTTGTTGCTATTGTTCCTTCTTTTTCCTCGAGTCTTCCACTATCTTCACCTGGATTCTTCGCAAAAACTCCAGAGTTTTGGTGTAGGCGGGATCTGAAGGGCTCAAAGGCTTGCAGGAATTGACGTGATCGGTTCCATCCAACACCTGTGGAGTGTGTCAAAACGAAGAGGAAAAGAGAGGTATTTTTACTCACCACCAATTCTCCAAAACCAGGATAAGCAGACTCGATTGGTACCACTTCCATGCGCAAGGCCCATCCTCCATAGCCTTCTACCAGCGGCGTCACCTTTGTCTATAAAGGAAATGTAAGACTCTTGTTTGCAAGCTTCATCTGGAGCTTACTTCGCTGAAACTTAGAACTTGGAGCGTCCCTCTGTAGTGTAGATTGCGGATGCAGCGATTGAGCTCCTCCAGTCTGGGAGACCCGCTTCTCAGCTCCGCAACCTGTCAACAAGAAATCACAAGAGATGGAAACGCTAGAGCCTGGAAGCCATTTACCGAAGGCGCCGGACGTAGAACGTAGCCCATTCGCCATGGCATGTCTGCCAATCTGCTTCCAAAGTGTGGACAACTATAAAACACCTGCCAAAACAAAAACAAAAACAAAAAACCAAAGATCGTGAGTGTGTCAGCATCTGCTTTGCATGGGAATTAAGAAATTTACGAACAACGCCAGCAGCCTTATCGACGAGATGAGCTCGTGACTTGTCCTTCGCAGCTTGTGCGAGCATTTGCTTTACAACCAAACCTCCCATACTGCAAAGCAAAGTTAAAAAGAGTTTTTATGCTGGAAAAAGAAGAGTCTCACCTGTGGGAGATAAAGACCACGGGGCGCTCTCCTACACCGGCTGCTAGCAGCTTGTCGAGAAGCGCCGAGCTAATTTCCTGAGTAACAAGAGTTAAGTATAATCTCCCTCTTTGTTTTCTCACCTCGAGCGGAAGCGTTGCTCCCGACCACTCGGAAAAGTTCGTCTGCATCATACAAGTACCACTCAGAGCCCGCATAGAAAATGATACAACAGTACCTACACAGACAAGCACTTCAGTAATCCAGGAACCAAAGATTGATACTACTACCAACCTTGTACTTGAGACTGAGCAACCGGGTTCTAGGTAGATCATGTGACAGCCATTCTGACGGCCAACAAGTCCCTTCCCTCCCCGCTTGCTCGTCAATTTTCTCCACAAGGCCACCCTTTCCTGTCGTCGAGGTTTTGTCCACAGCTACACGCCACGTTTTGATCGGTCCACCAGCAAGTCCGTGAATGAAAACCACGTCCAAAAGAGGAGACGACAGATCGCCGGAAGCAGGAGAGCTCGGACGCTCGGCAGCAACTTCTTGCGCGGAACCGTCTGGACTCAGAGCTTCCGCTGCCGATTTGGCGACTCCTTCGCTTTTCCAAAACTTGGAGTCGAAGTTTAGCAAGAATACCATGTCCTCGTATCGTGGCCATACTCCATCAACCAGGTCCCTCCCAAATCCCTTCAGCGTCTTCTGGATTCTCGAGTGTGCGACGTTGAGTAGCGTCATCTGTGCATAGCTTCGAGACTTGAGGTCATTGCAGCCCGGGACGACGCCATCAGCACAGTCTCCTAGCCATGAACACCACTCGTTGTCATCAGCAACAGCCTGTGTGACTTCCGGATGCTGAGTTAGGACGGTAAGCAGCCGTGCAGCATGCTTTCTCATGTGTGAAGCCAGCTCCGACACCTCTGCAGCCTCCTTGTCTTTCAAAGCCTGTAGTCTCCAATCCTTCTCCGAGGAGGCATCCAGAAAACACCACTGCTCGTAGTCATCTGCTAGCATCAACCTTCTGAGTAGAATGAGTCCTCCAGCTTCGATGATTCTCTTTTGATACGATGCGTCTTCGGCCGAAATATCTGCTAGAGCTTTGAGAGCCTTGATGACCGCGTGAGCCGCTTCGACGACAGTAAACTTGGGTGGCAGCTCCTTAGCACCATTTTTCGGAAGTGGCACGTTGGGAACAATATCTGCTCCAAGTAAGTCCGCGAGAGGCAACTCACCTGCAAACTCGGATATTGCAACGTCTGCTCTCGCCTCGACCGAAACCATCTTTCCTAGCTGAGTCGCAGCTTGAACCGCCGTCTGCATCAATTGAGACTGCAAAAACAGTTGAATTAGTTTCATCAACACGTTGGTTTACGCATTACCTGTAGTAGACCTTTAGCTTTGGCTTCCTTCCGAATGGCAGCAGGAGACTTCCCGTGTTTGATAAGTCCCAGTAGCAAAGAAGCCAACAGCGCTTGGCAAGCCGGAATACCGTCCGTTCCCAGCGAGTCAATCACCTTCCCAAAGATAGAGGTGGCGGACCTCTGAAGTTCTGTGTCTGGCTGAGAGCTGGACAACCAACGGAGGAGGATTCCCGACCACCTCTTACTTTCATCGGGCCCCAAGCAGAGTCCATTTTGCATGGCTGTGTCAAGCGTCCTGGCGATCGATTTTTGGATAGCAGCCTCTTCCTTAGTCTGCCTAGCAAGCTCCCGGATGGCAGGAAAACCCTTTTCAAAGGTGCTCATTTGCGACGGCCTTCCTTCCTTGAAGCAGGCAGTAAATGCCGAAAAAGCCGACTCCGCGAGTGTTGAGTCGCGGTGGCCGCAAGCCTGCACTGCCATATCCAATAATGCGGAGCTCCATGTCGAGACTACCTCGTCCGAAGTAACCTTCTTGTTGTCGAGAAGCAAATGCATTGTCCGCGCACCGTGCCACTTAACAGTTCTTTCCGGAGCCAAAACCGCGGCCAGCAACGCCTGACCATCCTTGTCGAGCCTCGAAATATGATTCCGATTCGCAGCCGAAGACTCTGCCCACGTTGCTAAAGCCCATGCGGCCAGAGGAACTGCTACAAGCCTTCCTTGCAAGTCGTCCCAGAGACCATAGCCAACTAGGTCCTTGTCTGGATCTTTGTCCACCAACGAAAGCGCTAGCGAGTTCTTATCGCTAAAAAAGGACAGACTATCTTTCATCTTCGTCCACCACCTCTGATGGAAGTCGTGTTCCAGCCTCTGCACTGCAACTATCCCCGTAGTGCCACTGAGCTTCATTCCAATGCCGTGAATGCTGCCTCTGTCGTCGTCTCTGGAGTCATCATCTAGCTTCAGTCCGCCTTCTTCTACAGCAGCCAAAGCTGCCGCTATGTCCGCAGGATCAGCACTCCCTGGAAGCGAAGGTCTAAACTCATGGTTCTCGACTGGCTCGCAGCTTTCCGTGACGATTTCCATGATGGCTGCAACTAGCTGGCTCTTTCCTCTAGAGCTTCCAATATCCGCGAGCTTTCTCCGATGTTTGGACGTCTGCGAAATATAACTGCTTTGAGTCCTCCATCACAGGTATAAACTCCATCGTGACATACCTTGGGTCGAAAGTTAGCTGGAAGAGAGGCAGCAAAGCGCAAGAGATTTGGTAGCGCGTGTGGACGAGCCAGGACACTCTCACAGGTCGCTTCGTCCTCGAGGAGATACGACAGGGCCCTTGCAGCCTCCCCTTGAGTCACAGTGGAGCCGGGACCTTGGCTCTTGGCGGCGGTCTCGAGCAGCCAATCCACCACAACTCCATCGCTGGCACAAACCACTGCTTTTCTCCTGTCGCCCCCAGCAGCGGAGACGTCCGCTATGAACGCCGCCACCTTCGCTCTCCACCATCCTTTGGTCACTCCCTCTCCATACGATTCCAACACCGACTTTAATCCCTGGAGAAGAACAAGAGCAGTAGCTCCAGCGTCGATCACTTCTCCCATGGTGCTGCTGATCCGACTGGACAGAGTCTCCAGCGTCGAGATGACGAGCCTGCCAATATCCCGGGCAGCTTTCTCGAGCGAGGCCAGAGAGATGGGGGGCTCTTTCTCTTCTCTCACCACCATCCCCGCCCCGAAGAACAGCGCTGCGAAGCCTACCCCGACTGAAAGATACCGCAGTCCACCACCAAAGCCTCTCTTCTCCTTTGCGTGAAGCTCCTCAAAACCCTCTTCGATCGCATTCCCTGGCGATGGCTTGGATAGACTAAAGCTGCTGCTGCTCTCGTCCTTACCCTTGCTCGATCCATTGGAATCCGCCTTCTCGGCGAGGCGCTGGACTGCCACTAGCCGTAGCGACGAGCGGCCGCCAATGCCTGATGCCTCGGGGACCGGCAGGCCGCGAATTCCAAGGCGCGCGATCGGGCAAGCGCCCGGCGCAGCGGCGAAGAAGAATCGGCGACTAGAACGTACCAATTTCCGATTCAAAATCCTGCGCCATGCGGCATTGATCAGCATCCCCCCGCCCTGGAAGAAGGAGGAGGAGGAGGAGGAGGAGGAGGCCTCTTCTTCTCCCCCAAAAGCCCTAGTCCCTGGCCCTAGCGCTGTCGCGGCAAATGGACGAATATGCGACGTGGGAGATCCACTCTGTTTTCTAGGGTTCTTCTTTATGCCCTTTCCTTAGGGTTTAAGGGCCCATGGCTATGGCAATGCGAGGGGGAGGCGCTGGCGGAGGCGGGAGCGCCAATCTCGGTGCGGCCGTCCAGGCCGATTGGGAGAATCGCCAGTTCACGGGCGCGCTCGCGCTCAATGTCCGCAAGCTCTTCGAATTCGTCCTCCAATTCGGTTAGTGGAGCTACATTCTTATCTCCTGCAAGAATTACTAGAGATCCTAGAGAAATCTTGAGCCTACATTCTTAGATCTTGCTCCAGTGAGCCAAGAATTTCTTCATCGACTCTAACATCTTCGTTTAGAGTCTACCACGCGAAACAAGATCGCGATTCTCAATGACAAGCTCACCGCCCTGGAGAGAAAGCTCGAGTTCTTGGAAGCTCAACACAGCAGCGTCACAGCTCCTGGATCATCGTGAATTGAATTGCAAGCTCCAGAGCTTCGATCGATCAAAAGATCCAAGCTTTCAGGCAAAGATTTAACAATGTAAAGCAACTAGATCTTCTTTGTACTCTTTTTTTCTCTCGATATGATCACATACACTCCATCCAGCCTTCTCTGCTTGTTTCCATGATGTGATAGAAGAAGAAAAAGAAGGTTCTAGGCTCGATTCCTCGTAACTCGGCATTCTTATTTGCCCGGTACTTTCTTTTCTTTTTCCCGTGGGGTAAAAAAAGATCGCCGCTAGTTCATTCAAAGGGTTCTTCTTAGGGCTTTGCGCTCGCCACTCGTGCGGCTTTCCGTGGATCCGTCCGTGGCGAGAGATCCAGCGAGTATTTTGGAGAGGCAGCAGCTCGATCGATCGATTCCCTGCGCGGCGGGGATTTCTCTCGCGGCGGCATTGCAATTGAGTCTGATCGTCGACCAAATCGCAGCGCATGGAGGTATTCTTTCTTCGGCTAGAGTAGCAAGTCATCCAGCATTGCGGATCATCGCGAGAAAGAGGAGGAAGAGCTCCGAGAGAGAAGAAAATATTTGTCTTCCTTCTTGGAGAAGAGAGGGGGGAAGAAGGGGAGCTATATAGATGCGTAAAGAGGAAGAAGAACAAAAAGAGAGAAGCAGTAGAGGCGCAAAGTCAATGGGATCCCATCAACGCTACAAAAAGAGAGTGGCCTGGGAGAAGAGAAGCTCGTTTTCTCTAGCGTGTTTAATGCTGCTGGGAATTCTGGGAGGAGTGGATTCACAGCAGCAGCCAACGATCATCCAGGAACTGGATCTCGGCATTCAATCCTCCGCTTTCCAGAGGCTGGCTCCACTGCCCAAGACAGGGGTCATCTACAACGTAACTCTCGACGCTTCTGGATCGAGGAACTCCACTGCTGGAGTGGTGGCCAGCATCCAGGCAGTGCGTCTCAGATCAGGGAGCTTGCGGCGCCACGGCCTCGTCTTCAACGAGTTCACCATCCCAGTCCAGTGCCTGGTGGAGACGACGAGCAAGTACGTGGTGCTCGTCTACCGCGACTTTAGCTCGTATCCGGCGGCCATGCCCGATGGATTCCAGCTCGTCGGCCCAGTCGTGGGGATCAAGGCCTACGAAGGCAACGATCTCTCCCACCCGGCACCTCAAGAGCTCAACATTTTCTCGGGACCGGCGGCTATCACAGTTCGAGTTCCAGTTCTTGCCAGGAGCAGCGGCAAGCTCTCCCCGCTCTGCGCATCTTTCGACAAGGAGGGGACGTTCCGGGTGGCCAACGTGAGCTCTCCGCCAAACTCCTGCGTTCTATCGCAGCTGGTGGACTCGTCCCTGGCCGTGGCAGCGTCGTCCTTGCCGCCAGCTCCAGCTCCAGCTCCAGCTCCAGCTCCAGCTCCATCTCCGGAACAAGCCCAAGCTCTTGCTCCGGATCGAGGCCCAGCGTCGGCTCCGGTGGCTTCGATCGTCCCGCTGTCGCCACCAACGGGGAGGAACGCGAGGAGAAAGATGTCAAAGGCGTGGAAGCTCGGGGTGGGGATTGGTGTCGGGGGTCTCGGCCTGGTGATGGTGGCGGCCGTGCTGGTTTTCGCCGGGGTGAGGACGAGGAGGAGAGCTCGCATTGCAAAGATGGAGCTTTGCGCGGACAACAGCGAAAGCCTCCAAACAGCACTTATTGGTGGGAGCCGAGCTCCTGCTGCCGGAGGCACTCGCACCAGACCAGTCCTGGAGAACGACTACGTCTCTCCGTAACTCCCAGACTTTCTTTCTCCTACGACACGTTCGCTCGCTCGGCGCTCCCGGTTTGCCTTTTAACTTTTCTAGCCGAGGAATAACTTCGCTGCAGGCTCTCGTTTTTTTTTTTCTCGATTCATTCATCGCGACTGCTGCTGCTGCGAATGCTGCTGCTGCTTATCTTGTGGATTTTTCTTTTTCTTAGTTTGGTGGTACTACTGGCCATTCATAAAGTCCATCTCTGTGCTGCGACACACACACACACACACAGAGTTTCATAAAAAGGTATGGCTGCTTTGCTTCTGGCTTTGCTCAGTCTTTCCTTAAAAGTGGACATTCTATTCTTTCTTTTGCAGGATTGACGCCTTTGGTCAGATTCTCGACTTTCATTTTACTAAGGCTGCGCAACGAAGCTAGCAAGCGACACAAGCGAAAAGACTGTGTGTACTTACACCTCTCCACCAAGTACCTTCTATACTCTCAAGTGACCGAAGAAGCATCGCCATCGTTCTCGTGGCAATGCCAACTAAAAGCTCAGAAGCAGAAGAGAAGAAACGAAAGACGCGGCGCGTAAAAGAAAAAAAACTTCTGCCACTTACCACCAACTTGGTTTTCAAGCTTTTTCTCGCTTGCTCGGATTTTAATCCATCCAGCCATGCCTTTGGAGCTTTCGTCTGGACAGAATGCACAGCTCATCTCAAACTGTTAAAAGTCATAATAGTACACAAGCCCGTTCCGCTACACTACACATCGGATACCTGTTTTCCCGACGACAAGAAGAACAAAAGAATAGCAGCTCTTGATGATGATGATCCGGCTATGGTTGGTCTCGTTTTGTTACAGGAAATAATCTGGCGCTGGCTTCTTCGATGGCACTCCTCTGGCTTCCTGCCAATTCAAAAACTTTGATCCTCGTTAGCATGATACGCTCTCTCTGATAAGCAAAAGTTTATAAAGAGTAGCTTCACCTGAGGAGCGGCCTCGAATACTTGAAACTTCGAGTTCAAGTTCTCGTCCAGCTCCATGATCGCTGCCACATTCCCGCATCTGGAATGGAAAAAAAAAAGAAAAAAAGAAGAAAGAAAGAGGAGAATAAGAACTTCGAAGACGAAGAAAATTATTCTCTACCTATAGCAGTAATTTGGAGCCGACCACACTGTCACGACCTGCTTGTTAAACATCCACTTGAAGCCTTCCATGACCAGCTGGTGTGCCCGACAGATAATCTCCGTCTTGTTGGCGTGATTAAACGCCGACGCAACGTTCCCTCCGAATAAAAAACCAGCGCCTCTCGGACTGATTCCCCACCCAATTATGTCTTCGGGATCGGACCAGAGGAGGTCGCACATTGCACCGTCGTGAGGGACTTCCTGCTTTCGGTCGATTGTCCTGATCTAAACACGAGAGTAAATTCAATCTCAAGTGCTCTTTTTTCGAATTTATTTTTCAGCTGGCTACCTGGTCAATCGTGTTGATTGCGGGAGAGAGGCCACCGTGCACACCAAAAATGCGGTTCTCGATCAGCGCAGATAGACTGCAAAACCAAGTACAAGCAACGATCAGCGCTTATGTTTATCTTTTCGTTTCCTTTTTGACTTTCTTGTCACCTTAAGTAGTCAAATATGTCTGTGCAATACCGCCATACATTTACGGATCCATACTTTCGAAGGCATTCGTCATAGAAACCATAAACCTGAATACGAAAAATATAAGTATAAAACACAAGAGAAAGATAAAAATCACTGCAGCAAGATCTAAGACATACTCGGAATTTGTACCTGCGTGATCTGCCGGCTTTCATGGTTTCCCCTTATAAGAGTGATCCTGTCGGGATAACGAACCTACACGAAAACTCAGTAAAACAACGCCACAAAAGTCTCACATACCTTTAAAGCTAACAACAAGAGAAACGTTTCCACCGAGTAAAATCCTCGATCAACAAAATCGCCTAGGAACAAATAATTCGTCTGTGGGCAGTCGCCTCCTACTCTAAACAGCTCCTTCATGTCGTAGAACTGGCCGTGAATATCTCCACAAATCTACACAAGACAACGCAAAGACACACTCTATAAGCACTAAAAAAATTTGAGCTAAGTGTTCTACTATTTCACTCACCGTCACTGGAGCGTCTACTCTCTGGACATTGCTCTCCTCCACCAGGATTTCCATGGCCTTGAGGCACAGCGCCTTCACCTCCGACTCCTTGAGCGGCTCGCATCGCTTCAGCTGCTCAATCTGGCGGTCCAGATCGGACATGGCCGATGCGCGGCGATCCGCATGCACTGGCGGAGGCGCGCGATCGATCACACCCACTCACGCGCTCCAAATCCCGCCAGCGCCCGCCGCCATTCCTCCTCCTAGCGGGGGAAGCCTCGTTCTCACCTCAAGCCCTAAGCATATTCTCTTTAGAGTTTTGTAAAAATTTGGAGATTTTTACATGGGCTGCCCTACCGTCCGATGACGCGGGATCCGACGGCCAGGAACTGGTCGCGCTTGTCTGAGATTGCCGCGCCCAGGAGCACTCCAAACAAGATCTTTCCCTGCGTGAGAAAGAACAAAAGAAACAAACGAACAAACCATGGAAGAACTCTGTAAGAAATGATCGAATAGAAAGCTTGAAGTTAGCTTACCTTTGTCCGCCTGTAAGATGCGAGAGTTGCAAGAGGCTCCATACTAGGATTTTTCGCACCGGTTCTCTGGTCGATTGTGATCATCTGGCAGCGATTGCATCCACCTAAGACCTGTGAGTATCTTGTGATCATCGTTAGAACTGGAACTATCTATCTTGTGACCATCCCAAGAAATGGAACTTACGGGAAACTCCGCGTCGCCAATTGAGAGTGACTGCCATTCATCTTCCTCGTAAGCAGGTCCACCCGAAACAACGAGATTTGGCCGAAACTGTGTTGTCTCTAGTCGATGTTTGGCACCTGAATAGAAGAGTTTCGCTTATTCGTTTTCGGAGAAGAGAAATTTACCGGTAGCTATTCGTGCATTGAGGTCTTCCACACTGGCTTCCGACAGGAGTAAAAACTGGCCTTCGTTTGCGAAACTTAACTTATCGCCTCCTTCAGGCGAATGTTCTGGATTTCTCCATCTGCATACTCTGGTATTCTCGACACCTTTTCGAACCAAGTTACACCGCAATCCCAATGCTTTCGTGAACCACTCAGAGATCTCTGCCCCGTATGACATCGATTTAGCCCTGCAGCAACTAATGAGCAAAAAAAAAAAAAACCAGAAAGAACAGAGTAACCTTTGTCCACATAAAATAACTTCTCCATGTTCCTCGTGCTGTAATCTGTCCTCCAACGGTATTTCAAGTGTATGATCAACATTTGGAGCACGGACAACGAGTTTCCCCGATGCCAAATCGATAGACGGAGTAATCAAGCACATGTTGTGGGCCTGGAACACAAAACTGTTAGCAAAAGCATTGTTTATCAAGAAGATGGACAAACCTTTTTCTGTGTCACGGGAGCATTCTCGGTGTCACATATCATCCACTCCCTGTCATAAAGTAGACCTGGAAAGTGCTGTTACTGATGGTACACCACTCAAAAATGTTTACCTGACTCGACGATAGGCCATGCCTCAACACTAAAGCCAGCACATGACTTAATAGGATACACTATAATAGACTTGAGACGCACCGCTGCCGGGATTGTATCTTTACTTCTTAATTTCTTGGCTTCCTGTGTGTAAGTAGTTTCTACAAAGTACTTTCGAACGAACTTGAGAAAAGCCTGCAGATGAACAGAGTAAGAAAGCTGGAAACACGCAACTTGTTACCTGACAGTCCTGGAAAGTGGACATATATCCAAACGAAATGCGAACAGCTCCTGTTGGTCTTCCGGAGATCAGATCCTGATCATCCCAGCAAACATGCCCCGCCTGAAAAATAATTTTTTAAAAATAAACTTGGAAAACGTTATTCATCCGGATTCATCACCTCGAAGTTGGCCTGCATGTCCTTGTTTGAAAGTTCAAGATACTTCGCACAAGCTCCAGGATTACAAAAGCATCCAGTCTGAAACAAAGGCAACCAAATATTTGAAAACAAAGGGTTCTTTTACTCACTCGAAGATGAATCCGGCACAAAGACGCAACTTTCTCAACTTCGCGATGACCGACCCAAGAGCCATCAGCACGTTTCAGATTGAACGTAATAACCGGACCTTGGATTCGAAACTCTTCTGCAAAAGTCTGAACTGTACTCAGTTAGATTTACATGTGCAGCCTGGTTACCTGAAAAACTCCGTGATTGCCAAACATAAAACACACGGGAGCACCGTTGCCATGCTTCAAATTACGCAGTGAACGAGCTGTGTAATGTGTTAAGGCCCAAGTGTGCCTGGTAAACAAAAGTGTAGAGGACTGCTGGGAAACAAATAAGTAGTCTACCTGGCAATAGAACTGATTCCCATTCTGTTGAGCATCATAAACCCGTAACGCAAAGCTCTGATGCTTAGAAACGATATTGTGCCATCTTCCATGCGTTGCTCTAGACTTTCTCGTCTATTCACATAATCAATGTCCGCTATAGACACCGCAACAGTGCCTGTTGCATGAAACAATCAGAAATGTGCTTAAGATTGCGTAAATTACCTCCTCCAAAATACTTCTGATTTAAGACTTTGCCAGCTTCTGGAAAAAATCTGATTTCAGACATAGCAACGAAGTGACATTTACTTACCACGTCGAACAATAAGAGCACCAAGTCCGGTAGGATATCCAAATATCTATTAGAGGAAGCTTTAGAAACTTTCAGACAACAGGAAAGTGGAATACCTTATAAAAAGATACAACTACAAAATCGGCAGGATAACGAGAAAGATCGGGTGGAGAAGTTCCAGCGCTTTTTGCTGCATCAAGTAGAACCATCCAGCGCCCTCTATGATTTGTCAAAGCTAAAGATGACCTGTAAGAAATACCAAACGATGGTGGTACCTGGTTCCATTCATATGCTGGCCATCTTTGATGCGCTCAACCAGCTCCATTGGAAATTTTGCGCCCGAAAAGTTACACTCGGTAGGCATTGCGAAAAGATTGTATGTTTCTTCGTCATCTACAACCATAACAAAAATTGACTAACTACAAAATCAATAATGACATACCATCGTGCAGAGAGACATTTTTCCTCTTTAGTCCTGCACTCTCCAGTACAACTTCTCCCTGGTTACTGATACTCACGGGGATTGCAGTTGCTCCCTTTTCGAGAGCGTACCTTTTGTTAACAAGAAAAAGAATTAGCAAAGAGGAAGAACTCGAATAGAATGCTTACTCTCGTATTCCGAGCACACTGTTGTGATTTGCCAAAGTATAGCAAAAATGGCCACCAGAGCTCCATGGAAACGTCTCTCCAACAAGTTTCAGCGCAGCTGTAGCACCGGAAGTAAAAACGCAAGCATATTCACTGGCTGGAGCATGGAAATACTCAAGAACCTGAGAGAGGAAACAGAAAGTTGTTACTACTACTGCCTCCAAGTAGTAACATTTTACTTCACCTGTTGTCTGGCAGATTCAATTGTGTGAGAACTCCTGATGCTACTATCACTTTGACTGTCTGGCTTTCTCTAAGTTAGAAAAAGAAAAATACGAACAAGCTGCTAGAACTTACGAGGATTTCCATAGACCTGCCCGCTATAATCCGCGAGAGCCTCCTGGAGCTGACTGCTGGAATACAATGTGGCGCCCGCATGGTCCAAGTAAATTGTCCCTGTGAAGAATAAAGCGAAAGTTTTTCCAAGTAAAGCGTCATTGCAAAGAAGAAAAAAATGTGTCATACCTTTCAAACGAGCAAATTCAGTACCCCGTAGACGATCGATTGGAACTGGGCCATCCGCGTAGCCATAATAACCCCCAAATTCTTTCAAGAAGCTCTGCCTCCTGGAATTCCCGGAGATTTCCGCGTCGCGCTGCTGCCTCAATCGCGGCGGCCACGACAATCTCTCCAAGAAATGCCTGACAGCAGCGTGAATCCATAGTATCAAAGCCAGGAGCCTGCCCGGGAGATAGAAGAATCCTGTGGAGCTCCTCATAATCTATCCGATCTATAGCCTCTCTTACCTATTTCAACAGGAGCAAACCATCGGCGCATCTATATACCTTCTTTGACGCACGCCAAAGCCGTGGAGAAGTCGCGGAGATCCTCTCTTCCACAGCCAGGGTTTATATATATCGCCCACTCGAACGATTCCCCGGAATCTTCCAGGTCATCGTTCGACAGGGCATTCGTGAAGTATTTTAGCAAGGTATACACCATAGCTTCTAGCTTGTAAGTGGAGCCTGTAGGATGATACGTCCCAGAAAACGTTCACACACTGGAACATTTGGCAATCAAGGCACGGAGCCATTGTATCTGCTAATTCCTGGAAACATGAAAGTGAGCGATCGAAAAACATTAGGATAAAAAAAAGACTGGAGTAGTCTTCCACTGAGAAATTGTAGATGATATCTGTTCTGGATCATCTTGGTTACCTTTGGTGTGGATTTTTCTTCCTGAGGCCAACCAATTTAGAACCGGCTTGGCTGGGCTGGGTTCTTGGATTCCACAGGCAATCACATAATCGACTCCAGCTAAGACACCCATGTTGTTTAAGTACATGGTATGATAGTATATTATCAGAACCAGTCATGGCTATCAGGGAAGTGTAGAGGTAAACTGGTGTGGAAGACCTGGGTTCGATGCCAAAGGTCCATGTTGGGGACGCTCAGGATGGGGCACCCGAGTTAGGTGGGACGCGGTAGGCGCCGAAGTTGGGACTACAGTGTGGGAGGCCCTTGGACGGGCGAGATGGGAGGTATGGCGGGCTTCCGGGGTACAGGCACTCTGGGAGGCTTGGAACCGCAACCACTTCGAAGGGCAGTGCGCTCGGATTTCAGTGATCATGGCGAATTGGTGGAGGCTCACACTAGCTGCTATCCGCTTGAGGGATACACTGCTCCAGGAGCATGGGAAAAACAAGGAGGCACTCACAGCTTGGTGACGACTATGGACTCCGTGCTACGGAACTGAACACGAGGGGGAGGTCAAGTGGAAATGGAGACCTTTGGACACGGTAACAAAGGAGGCTCGACGTGGCGATCTGGCGCTGGATGCACTGCGGAGGCGACGACCACAACAGCCACGATTGGAGGGCAGCAATCACTACTAGATGGAGAATTGCAGGACAGCGTAGTTGAGTGAACAACGCTAAGGGACTCTTGCTTTTTGTATCAGTCCCTAAGGGACTTGGAGAAATGTACATATGCGTTGCATCGATGCCAAAGGTCCAATCAACAAAGACTTTTATTATGCAAAAACTAGCACTTGACCAACCAATGTTGGGTAGTTCGCAAAGCCTTTCAAACTCACCAACATATCTTTAATATATTTTTGTGATAGAACTTGCTCACATCTCATAATTTCCTTGTGAGATGATTCTTCCATTTCTAGCACTAGGCATTGCTGGTCCATTGTTATCCATTGGGCCATAGGGAAAGTTAAAAAATAAATAAAGTTTATTGTAGTTTTTTTTTTTATGTTTTAAGGTATAGTAGGAGAGGAGTTAGTTAATATAAAGCTTCTTTGTATATAGTATTGATGGTGAATGTTGATGAATTGAATGGAATTAATCAATATTTTGTATGAGTTGTGTCAATTTGAATCGCAAATTGTTATGATGATGTGCATCTTCAATGGGTAAAGATTAGCTAGGGTAAGCACATGATCAAATGTTTGACCTTGGTATTTTGAAATTGTCAAACAGTATCCAAGATGAAGAGGAAATTGTTTTCAAGATATATAAAATGGAACATTTGAATCAAAGGGTGTTAAGTTAATATATGGGATAAAAGTTCTAATACCTTTAAATTCACATATAATTGTTTCACAATCCAAAACTTTAAGCAAAGTTTTTTTGACCATTAATTGAGTCTTATTGCACAATAGAGATATGTTTTTCAAAAGAATAACTTTACAACCTTCTTTTAGTAGCAATTTGTGTAGTGGTAATCTAAAGGGAGTGATAGAGTTTAGAAATTTAATTGGGAAATCTTTATGATATTCAACATCAACAAAGTTAATGCTACTGTAAATTTGAGGTGGATTTGGTAATTGAGAGATAATGTTGTTATTAATTGGAAATATATTATCATTGAGAGGTGTTAAAATGGTTCTATTTGTTGCAATTTGAACATTCAAAATGTCTTCAATGTATGGGAATATGAAATCAATTATAGAGATACTTCTAATTAGTTCTAAAGAAAGAAGGATAAAATCAAGTGGTAAAATATGGTTTTGTGTATAATTATTTCCATCACCAACTTTCAATAACCTTTTTACCCAATCTGGGAACTTGAGGCCAAGCTGCATAATTATTTGCAGTTGGAACTTTCTAAATAGATTCCATAAACTATTTAATCTTACAGATGTTAAAAAAATCTTGTTTGGTGATTATATGGGACAATTGGTAATGTTTGATAGAAATCACCACTTGTAACAATAACAATGCTATCAAATAAAAAATTGTTCTATTTTAAATCTTTTATGTAGCGATAGACAGTTGAAAAAGCAAGTGTATGAACCATACTAATTTCATCCCAAATAAGCATTTGTATTGTTTTCATAGATCTACTGACACTGTTATTAGGTGTTAAACCAAAAACAGATATATCATTAATTAGAATTAATAATTTAAAAGTTGTATAGGATATTTGTCCATTTTGTAGTAGTATGCTTGCAATGCCCGTGCATGCCATACAAACCATTTTTTTTATTGTAGAACTCAAAATATTTTACTATTGCATTTAATAAATATATTTTGCCAGTCCTACCAAGGCTATCAATAAAAATAAAATGGTTGGTATCAATCAGGCACTCAACAATGTTAACAATTTCATTGAATATAATAATTTATTTAACATTCAAGTTTCTAATATTATGGTAAATTTCTGTATATAAATGGTTGTAATTTAGTATTAATTGAATAGAGGTATTTAGAGTTGGAATAAGTAAATTGTATGATTGGTTTGTTTTACTATGTATTTCCATTCTTGAGTTAATGTCTATTAAAGCAAGTTTATATCAACATACAATATTTGTTTTACCAAAATTTTTAAAGAGCTAAACCTTAAAAATATCCCAAAGATATGGTGGGTATTGCAAAAAATACATATGAAAGTAAAGAGTTGACATAATTGTGTAGGCATTTGAAAATTACATACTTCTTGTAAACAATTATACCACTTGTTATCATCATCAAGAAAACCCATAATAATAGCAACTTGTTGAAAACTTTAGTAAGTTGCATCATTAATTGTTTTAATATTGTCGAAGGATGTCACATCTTTTTTATGAAGAATAATAATAAATAAGTGGTACAACTTAGTATTTAGAGGAGATACTAAGTATAGTCGAGGAATAACCTTTTTCTTTTTTTGACATTGCCATATATTAATAGATCTATTGAAAACATAATGTAAAGGTATCTGAATGTATATATATTGTTTTGCATTTGGATCATGAATATTAAGCTTGAACCATTTTGTTAACATTGTTCCATTACATGCTATTTTTTGCAAGGCCTTATGCTCTAAGCGTTTTATAAAATATACATTTTGGAAGTCAAGAAAATACGGGTAGATGTATTATAAGGTGTGAGCATCCATGCATTTTAAATTTAAATATCCTCCAAATAGCTTCCAATGCTGAAATGTATCAAGTATTTATAAAATTTGTGATTCATCCAAATTTAATACATTTTTAGACTAAGTGGCTATTCGAATTTCAATGGTTGCACAATCATAACCTTTATAAACATATTGAAAAAAATACTTAATTGATACACATATTTTTACACTTATATGGACTTTGTATTTTTTACATAAATATTTATTATATGGGACAATTCATTTGTTATCAACTAAAATATCATTTTTAAGGAAGGTGTGACCATTGTTTAGCCTAAAATATTCTGGATACCCATCCACACAATATAAAGTCTTGTCATTGAAGTATCTAGGATAGTTTTTGGAGTATTTTTTGTTTTTCATGCATGGACTTTGAGGATTTAGTAATCCACATGGACCATGTATCATATGTGATGTGATTATTTCAAATATCTTAGGCTCTAATAAAGGGTTAGGTAATTGACTAAATACATATTTGTCAATAGTGTCATGGTCTTTAATTTTACTTTCATTGTCTAATATGCCTAGGAAATGACAATGTGGTAATCCTCTTTTCTGGTCTTCAATGATATATATAAATGCAATACATCTTCCAAAGATATTTTTTTTATAAAATCATAGAGAAAATATTTTAGCTTTATATTAAAAACCCTAAATCAAGTTGGCCTTCAGGTCCTTTATTAGGATGTAGATTTTGTAATATCTTAGGCCATTTAGGGTTGCAACTAAAATTTATAAAAACATTAGATTTTGAGTATTTTGTTATAATTGCAATAGCATCTTGGTAGTTTTGTTGCATAGCTTTTAGGAGGTAAAATAACAAATTTTCTTAGTCGAGCATTTGCATTAGCAGCTCTACCAGCAATATAATCCATCAAACCTGTATAAAAATAAACTTTCATATTTTTTTGATTAGATTTATAGTATTGTAAATTGTTTCTTTCAATTTTAACATAGGCATCTACAATATATTATTATGTGAGTTTTCCAACATGTAAAATTTGGTTATATGTAACTATAGAGGTTGATAATATTGAATCTCTTTTGGACAAACAATAGGCATAATATTGAAAGAGTGTTATATGCTTATTAAAAGAAAGCCTATCATGCCAAACTTTATTTGCATGTGGAAAAGCAATGGATAAACCATAGGATTGCAATTAGCATTTAAAATAAATATATGTTATGGTTTTAATGATTTTGGATGAATTCATATTTCACGGTCAAAAGATGGCACACCATCTTCACTTTGGAAAATTATTGCAACATCATTAGTTTGTGGAGTATTATATTGATGATGGTTTATGCCTTCATTTTTAATGAGTATATATACTCCATGTAAATTGCTACCAGAAATAATAGTTCCTAAAATATTTTTTTATTCCAATTCATACATCATTCTAAAAGCTTGTGCATATGGATTAATATGTTGAAGTATCATATCTAGTTGAAGCAATAAATTATAATCACAATTAATGTTAAAAAGGTTTTGTTTTCTGATATTAGTAGCCTCATTAGAGCTAGCATGTACAATTGACAGTTGGAAATTTAGTTTCATAAAGTTATTTTGGATAGTAAATATTGTTGACAATAAAAAAAATGGTGTTTTTAAGCAATAGCTCATATGGCATTTTTTCCATGGTATAGGACTAAATTACCATCATTTTGTAAAACCAAAATACAATGAAATATATTTTTTTATTAGATTTTTCTCCCATATAATTTTTTTTTAGTATATCTTAATATTGCAATTTGGTTCTAAAAAACATTAAATATTTTCCATTTGAAGAAATTAAAAAATCATTTGTATATAATGTTGATTTAGTAGAATAAAGACTACTTGTACCAAATAGCAAAATAAACTTAATTTACTAAAATAAAATCTAAAACTTAAGATAAATAAATAATATAAATAATCTTGTATATAAAGTTCAACTTTCTTAATTAAGTTATATTGTATAAAATGC